ACAGACAAAACGAGGAACTCATCTTAAGACAGGGGACAATGGGTCAGTGGTTTGATCTCAATATCATTACCTAAATAATCATCAGGATAGTTCTGGACACAGTGTATAACTGAGTTTAATGATTTCTCCTGGCCTAGATCCTCTGTACTATGGATCTGTTTTTATGAGCAGCTATGCCTATTAATATAATGCAAGCAGTCTCATTGAGTTATCAGTCATAAAATGATATGGAGCAATCATAGCCAAGTATAACACTGCAGGGAGACTTCTCTACCTCCCTTCCCTGCACACTGGTCCTGAGAAGTTACTGCCAAACCATCGCAGTGAGAGTATTGGGGAACCATAAGAGGCTGCTTGTTTTCAGCAGATCCCTGTGACTTTGGCTTCTTCAGTCCTCTCTCTGTGAGACCCTTGGCAGCAAGCTTGGCAGTGTTTCTTCTCTCGATTATCTACCAGGACATTTTTTTGCAATAGCTAAAAATTAATTATAAAAGTTAAAATATTATGACATAGATTTTTATGTTTAAGGTCATAACTAAAGAGAAAACATGTTTTGTTATACAAGAGAGAAATTACAAAAGCATGTATTCTTGTTCTATACATTTTGGATATAGCAGACTGACCTGCGCTTGATAATTTAACTTACACTGAAATTTTTATTCTACATTAAAGAGTCTCCTATCCATGGAGTGGGCAAATTGTCAAGAAGAAATAAGAGATATTCTACCTCTCATCCCCAAGAAAGGGCAGTAGACAGGTTCTGGTGATTCTGAGCCCCAAGTCCTTCTTAATGGTTCTTTAAACTTCATTATTGGAAAAAAGAAGAAAAGATACCATTTATATTTTATGAAGATAAAGAAAGAAAGGAGCCAACACCCTGAGAAGATTCTAGAATTCAAAAAAAGGGGGGGGTGCGGATAGTGATTGTCATTTTGAGACAGGAAGATGCCTCGACATGCTTTAGTTGGGTGAAGGACTTTGTGGGAGAGCATTTGTTGGTAGTCTTGGGGCCTGAGCAAAGAGTTCTGAATAATCAGAAAGCAAGTTGTGTTATCCTTTGGTGCCACCCTTTTTAAAGGCCCATACTGCTCGGCAGAAAACTGTATATGCTGATGCACTGCTAGTGCCTGAAGCAGAGGACCAGAAGTGAAGCAGAAAACTGGTGGTTCCAGCAGAAAACTGGTGGTTCCAGCAGAGCCTAGACAGTGAAGGCACTTGAGAATGGAATTCTGACAGAGTATGTTTCGTGGCTTAGGGCCCTAGAGATCACAGATGATCAAGAGAAGGGCTTGGGAAGTGCTTAGTCTGTTCAGGATGCTGTCACAAAAAATATCATAAACTGGGTGATTGATAAGCAACAGAAATTTCCTTCTCACAGCTCTGAGGATGAGAAGTCCAAGGCATCAGCACATTTAGTATCTGGCGAGGATATTCTTCCTGCTTCATAGGCAGTCATCTTCTAGCTGTGTGCCCTCACACAGAAGAGACGAGAAATCTCTCTGAGGTCTCTTTTACAAGGGCACTACTTCCATTCGTAAGGGCTTCACACTCATGACCTAATCACCTCCTAAAGGCTCCACCTCTAATACCATCACAATCAGGGTTAGAATTCAACATGAATTTTGGAAGGACAAAAACATTTAGTCTGTAACAGGCAATGAAAGATCAAAAATATGGGAGGTTTAGAGTATGGTGGCTTAGAATACAAGCTCTGAAACCAGGTTTAGGCTTAAATTCTAGTTTCTTCAAAAAATTCTCATGCTTCCCCCCAACCTGCTCTCTCTAAATTAAGGAGAATAGGTCATTACATCACTGTTTAGGAGGTGCTATTTCTAATGAGAATGTGGCATATCCTTCAGATGTATAAGGATAAAAAATATGTATTAAGAACTGCTAAGATGATTTATGTCAAGGGCTTAGTACATGCCTGACACATCATAAGAATAAATAAATGGCTGGTTTAAGGACATAAAATATATGTATTTTAAAAAGTGTGATTTGGGTAAATTTTACTGGCTAGCATAATGAGTGTTGTACACATGTTACAAATCTATAGAAAAATACTTTACTAAAACACCAATTAATGATTTCTTGTTTCTTAAACTACATTTCAAAATTTTAATTTTCTTTTTTTATTCTAAATCCCCTCAAGCTATTAATATAGACTTGGCATGATTAGCCATTTGCTTAGAGGAGAAATAAACTTCTTTAGCCGTGAGACTAGAGCTCAGTCCTCATCAAAGGTAGTTACTGTGAATTCCTCCCTAAAATATTCAAACTGAGAATATATGGAATTCAAACTGGTTTCACTAAAAAGTGGAATCCTTACAGGATCATAGACTATAAACATGAGAAGTATACCCCTGCTATTTTATGCCTCCCCCACAAATTGTTTCCATCCATGTCTAAAATGCCAGTCTGTTTTCATGAATTTTAATTATGACTGGCACTACAGAGCTGCTGGGAATAAGAATTAGGCTGGGACGTAACGGAGGGCATTCTGACATCTGTGGAAACCCATAAAAGCTGTGATATTTGCAATTACAACTAGCTTCCAGAATGTAGAAGAAGCAAATGAGAGACCAGACTTTCAGACCAGTCTAGTAGTAACCATCAAGTTCTGAGGTTTTCTTCATGGACAAATACAAAAGGCAGAACTTGTGAAGTTAGGCTAAAATTGACAGAAGAAAAAGAGACCTACTGGAGTCAACATACTAACTTGCTCAATAGAATAAATACTGCGATTTAATAAAGAAGAGTTAAAGAATGCTTGGATCAATGTCAGTAGTTAGAAATAATGGTTGTTCCCAAATGGGAAAAATTTTGAATGAACATGACACTGAAACGTGACATTATAGTCTGTTTTGGTCAGAAAAGATATAAAAGAGGTATCTCATTTAGCACAATTTGCGGTATGAAAGTGGGTTCTTTGTATCTCAAAAAATAAATTTAAGTCATTGGGGCAGATTTTTTTTCCTAAGGAAAGCGATGTATTGTTTTGACAGAAAGTACACAAAGTCAATATCATCAAAAGCCTCGACTCCAGGAAAACTGTATCATCCTCAAACACACCCAAAGTCTGCCAATTCCCATTATTTATATGAGAAGCAATCAGATTAAATAAAATCTATGATAATTCAATAATGTCTTTGGGAACAAAAGCAAACAGCAACAGGGGTGTCAGCTAACTGCCTATGAAAGATATAGTAGTCCCCCCTTATCCATCGACAACATCTTCTGACATCCAACCATCGATAGCCTCATGGTTCAATACACTAGATCACCCAAAGCAGATTATTCCTCTTCTGATGTATCATCAGAAAGTCAGTAGTAGCCTAACACTATATCAAAATGCCTACATCATTCTCCTACTTCATCTCTTCACTTAGGCGTTTTATTATCTCACATCATCACAAGAAGGGTGAGTACAGTACAATAAGATATTTTAAGAGAGACGCCACATTCACATAATTCTTATTATAATCTATTGTTATAACTGTTCTATTTTATTAATTATTATTGTTGTTAATATCTTCCTTTCTCATAGGTATGTATAGGAAAAAACATTGTACATATAAAGTTCAGTGAAATTACTATCTGTGATTTCAGGCATCCACTGGGAGTCTTGGAACGTATCCCCCTCAGATAAGAGAGGACTACTGCACAAGAAAAAACAAATTTAATCGGTAATATCCTTAGTATTTAAAGAGCCAGAACTGGTGATAAACAATACCATGGGGGACAAATATAAAATATACAAACAAGTATGTGGCAACATGGAATAAATATTTATACAAAGGTACATGCCTTTGTATAGGAAGAGTTATTGCAATTCATGTCACTGTACCAATCCTTTAGCAGGCTGGAGGAAGTTCAGTCAAAAGAAATCTCAGGCAGAGACAAAACCTGAACTACTCCCATAGGAAGGCTGAACCCATACATCATTGTCTAGATCAGTGGCTTCTAAGCTTTTTAATTACCGTGTATCTATGAAGAAAACAAAATTTAAGCATATCTCTTCAATCTGTGTATACATATATACACTAAATTTATAAATATATAAAGATTATATGCATGTACTATTGTACTAACATATTATATACATTGTAAAATACACACAAAATAGAAATTATAAAAGGATGAGATAAAGATGACATAAATATTGTTTTATTTTATTTTTATTTTATTTATTAATTTATTAAATCTTTTTATTTTCACTTTAAAATTGATATTAAAATTTGTATAAATAATATGATTTAATATAGTTGATTATTTTTTGAAATCTTGGCTTAACATTCATGTTAACTTTATGTTCATTCTTTCTGTACTTGATTTTAATGATTGCCATAGCTGAAAAGTTAATTCCTAGTAATAAGGATGTGAAAAGAAAAAGGACCTTATTATCTTGCCTACTAAATCATGGTACTCATTTTTTAATTCACTCCACCAATTATGCAAAAGCTTTGTTTAAATTTGACACAGTATTCAACTAGGTCTATAATGATAGAAGAAGTAAATCCATATAGCATATATTCTCTTGATCACTTAAAAATTCACTAGAATTTACATTCATTTTTTTACCTGTTTTGCTGCCGAAGAACTGGGGTTATACGATTAAGAGAAATGTAAGCTCTCCCATTTTCCCCCACTATTAAGCAGTGTATAAATTATTATCTTCAAAATCAGATATTTTTGCAGGAAAATTTTTATCTATTCATCCATTCTGTGAGGTAGATAATGAAACTCCTAAACTCACTTGACCAAGTACATGCAAACCTCAGTGTGTGTCAATACACTGATATTAAGCAAGAGAGAACTCCACAGTCAATCCTTTGGGTTTGGGTAATTTCTACTCTTTTCCTTAAGGAACCTCAAATACCTGTCTGATGATCCATTTGTACAGGAATGAGTGCCATTTGTCTATTAAATATCAGTAAATCTTAATTTCCTTCCTCTAAATTTTAATGTAAAGCCATAAGTTGTAAACTTTTTCCACTTACCAAGAAATGATCTTATTCAGACCCTGGTGAGTAAGTCCTCAACTCTGAAATGAATGTCTCTCCATGAAGACTTAGCTCCTCTCTCCCTACAGAGTATGTTTTATGACTCACAGAGTAATTCTGGAGGTGGGGTTATAGGTTAACAATTGCTTAACATTTTTAGTGACTTTGGGCTGCTGAATTTATTTCTTTTTTTGTGGAGAGTTTAACCAAAAAAAAAAAAAAAATCACTTTATTTTCCAGAGATTTATTGTGATTCTATTATCTTACCACTTTCAAATTCCATATAAAAACTTGAATAATTTAGAACCAAAATGAATACTCTCTGAAAAATCTAGACCAGAGAGCAGAGCTTTTTCTGTAAAAGACCAGGCTTTATTGCTCATACCTGTAAGTTGTTGCTGCAATTACTCAGCTCTGCCACTGTTGCTTGAAAGCAGCCATAGACAGTAGGTAAAAGAATGTACATGGCTGTGATTCCATAAAGTCGTACTTACAAAAATAGGTAGCAGGAAGGATTTGGCTTGTGGACCATAGATTGCCAACTTCATGTCTAGACAATTGCTTGCCTCGCCCTATCTGATTTGACTATAGTGATATGAGTCTGGGCAATTTTACATAGCTATCTTTTGAATCTTGCTCTTTTCTTTTACTTGAATGAATAAGAAAATTAGGGAAAGCTAATCGTTTTCTTGATGCATATTCAAATGACTTAGTCCCTCATTCCTTACAAAATAGAATTTCACATAGAATCAAAAGGCATAATCTGGCCAGTGAAAGAACAAAGGTCTCCGTGAATAATATCTACTGGCTGGACACTTCAAGATGGATCTTATATGTTTTTGTTTGTGTGATAGTATATATGTCATATGCCTCAAGCACAGGAAAAGCGAAGTATGGTTTGCAAGGAAGAAGGTTAACTTCCCTTATAATAAGTCAAAAGATGCCTAGTGATGAGTGCAGTGTGCTACTGGCAACTTAGAGCTCACTCCTCAGTATACTCTAAGATAGATTCTACCTCAACACCCACACAGCGGTTCTCAAACTTGAGTGTCTAGAGGTTTCACCTTGGAAGTTAGTTAAAATACCAGCTGTCTATAGGTTTTCTAGATGGGGTTCAGAAATCTGTTGCCAAGAACTTCTGGTGATTCTGATGGGGCTAGTCAAAAGAAAACATACATGCTGAAAAGCGCAGCATAAAATTCCTGAATTCAAAATGCCCCCTGTAAGGCTAGTGTAATGATTAGTGTAAATATATCTGAATCTCTCAGATTAGAACTTGGCAGATAATACATGCTCAATAGAGCTAAAGAATTTAGAAATTATTATTATAGTATAATTATTATTGTGGCATAGTTATTATTTCATCCATAAAGAGAGTTATGAAAATGGAAGCATTTAAACTGCAATTAGGTGAAAAAAGAAGAAAAAGAATTTATAAATCTTGAATACCAAAAACAGATGCAATATGAGAGGGTCAGAAACTGCAAGAATTAAAAAGAAAGGTCATAACTGTTGAATCATTAAGCAATCATTAAACCAAACTAGAGACAAGTAATGAAGGAAAACTGAAAAAAGGCCTTAATGGCTATTTGCCCTTATGTCACAAAACTGAAGCAAAGATATCTTTATTATCTGGATCATCTGGGTCTTAGCCACAGTTCTCTGACTTTCTTTGCCTGACTAAACCTGAAGTTAAGGAAATAAAATCAAGAAAGTAGTGGGACTTAGGAAAAATGGAGATTTGCAAGCTAAAGTCAAGAGAGCCATTCCAGTCTAAAAAGATCATTGCTCTCCTCAAGAAATCCCCAGAGATTGAGACTTTCGTCATTTGCTTTGCCCTTGGCAAAGACTACCCTGGGCTATTTTCAGGCCTGTCCTGGTTCTTCCATTCATTTGTTCATTCATTCATTGAACCAACATTTAACGAGTCAGACTATGGTCCAAGCACTGTTTTAAGCACTCGCAATACAAAAGTAAACAAAACTACACATAAAGAACCCTGCCCTAGCAGAACTTACATTCTAGCAAAGAGAGACAGACAAGAAAAAAATAAACATAACTAAGTTCTATAATATAAAAGGGAAAGTAAGATGGGGAAAGGAAAATGTGGGTCGTGAGAGGTGGTCAAGGTCAGCTTCATTGGAAAAGTAAGACTTGAGCAAAGACCTGAAGGGAGTGAGGAAGCAGGGCCAGCAGCATTCCGGTGGAGGGAACAACAAAGGTCATAGCACAGGAGAGTGCTGGACTTTTTAAAAAAAGAATATCAAGGAGGCCAGTGGTAGCTGGAGGAAAGTGAATGAGAGGAATAATTAGAAATGAGAGCAGAGAAGTCACTGAGGGCCCAGATCATTGTAAAGCCTTGCAGGCCATTTACTATAAGAACTTGGGCTTTTACTCGTAGTGAAATGAGCAGCCTTTTTATGGTTTTCAGCACAGGAGTGGCAGGATCTCATTTAGGCTTTAAAAGGCTCACTCTAGCTGCTGCATTGAGAGTAAACGATAAGAGAAGAAACACAGCTCAGACCTTCAGTAACCAGGGTGCATAGCTCATTACCTCCAACAACAGTGCTTTACAAAGAGGGAACACTTCACTTGGAAGCAGCTACTGCAAATTCTGATCTCTGCTTGAGTTTGATCACTGACCCCTAACCAAAGATTCTGACTTGCTGCTCTCAGTTTTGACCTCTGGCCACCATGTCATCTAATTATAGGGTCCCAGCTATCTCAGGTTTGCCATAGCTCCCATGAAATGGTGAATAATGTTCAATCTTTTTCACCCAACAACTTCCAGAGTTCATCATTACGTTAAAAATCAATTGGTATATAGAAACACTTGAAACCTACTTTAAGAAACAATAAGTATTATATTTTTAGTTTCTATTATTTGCCTGATGCTGTGCTTTCTGTACACAGAGTTAATCCTCTTAGCCCAGTAAGTTTGGATATTATATTGCAATGTCTCTGCTATCCTATCTCTGCTAGGTAGAAACTATGCCTTGAAGACATTAACAAATTAGTAAGAACAGGAGGCAGGATTCAAACCCAGAAGATGATACACATACTGTATAATATGTAATTAGTATCGAAATAAATATTTATACCTCAAATGTCTGAAAAAAAAATAAGTGCTCTCCAGGAGCTTACTCACACTCTTCATTAGTATAGTACATCCTGTTAATATTGAGAGAACAAAGGAAACTTGAAAACTTTAACCTGGCCTGATAAATACCCTCTAATTGGACACAGTCAGGATTGATAGTTACTGGGTTAATCAAAAAAGGAGTTAAAGGAAAGATAAGAAATGATACATGCATATCTAAATAATTTACATTTGCTTCAATAATTTCTCTGTGTATTCATTCATCAATCTTTTGTGGTAGAACATTTTCTTACAGTCTGATTGGAGTTCATTCTTGCATAAAGCATCATCTTTTAATCTCCAGTTTCAGTTTCTTTAAAGTGGAATTAAAAGATAGGTTTAGCTTTGAAGAAACGTGAAAATCTACTTCTCTATATATTTTTGAGTATTTTCTAAGATTTTACAATGTCTGATTACATTACATAACTCCCTCCCTGCCTCACAGATATCATTCAAAATTTAGTTTTTGTGGAAACAATTCTCTTCCTTTTCATATTCATATCTCTTTGGTTTTCACACTATTTAATAAATCATGTAACTTTAATAATATGCAATTGGCATAAACAGATTTGGGAACAAAATTAGCTGATTCTTGGTAAACATAAAACTCAACCGATGGGGCAGAAATACATGGATGTACTGGAATAGCCTTCTGGCTGCCAGTATTCTTTTGCGATGAGCATTGTCCAGCAGGTTTTACTGAGGGAATGGACAGCATGGTTACTCTAGTGGATCAGTTAAATGGACATTAATTGAGCATCTATGATATAGATTATTGATGCCAAGTCATGAAATCTTATTGGGAATTGCAGAATACAGGAATGGGGAGAAACAATAACAACAACAACAAAAATTTGTGATCATTTGATAGTTACTGAAATGACCAAATGTCCCCTTTTCCCTAGTTGTTCTGTTTTTCAAACAAAGTGCAAAGAAGGAATTCTCTCACCTGAGACTAACATTTTTTTACCTAAAAAATTACAGATGTTTTACTTTGAGGTTTTCAATTAGAAATAGACTGTTTTTTGTTTTGTTTTGTTTGTTTTGTTTTGTTGAGATTTCAATGTCATTTACATAAAATCACCATTCGTCTCTTCCAAAACATGTAAGCTCAAGATCAAATTTCTTTATATTTATATAACCCATTGAATTCACAAGGACTCATATTTGGTAATTGGTCAGGAACTAGAAAATAGATTGAGAGGAAAAAAAAAAGTGACTGAAATACTAGAAAGACTGAATAAATAAATAAGAAACAAACCTTGCAGCTCACTTTCCATTTATTTTGCCAAGATGCCTAAGGGCACTGGTAAATACTCAGTTCTTGTGTAATATTATCAAAAATATCTACCACAGAAATAGGTCAGAAATTGTAATGTTTACTTTGCACAAAATATAAGGCTTGTGAGATGTGTGTTCATGTATATTTATAAAAACAGGTCAAAATATAATGTAATAAATGTCTTAAAAAGGAACTGGGGAATTAGAACCAGATTCTATATCCTCCTATTAACTTTTTCTTATTTTCTTTTTGCTAGAAAAACATCTACAAAAAATTGATTGGGCATAAATCAATGTGTACACTTATTAACTCTATCTTCAACTTAGACCCCAAACTTCTGGTCATATTGAGCTACATTTAAGTCCTAAGTCTCATGATTACTTCCCCCAAAGAGAAATGGTGGGTGTTTAAAGTCACCTGTCAGGGAACACCACTGTTCCCTTCCTGCTGGCACTGTCTGCGTGGATACTGGTTCCAAGCGAACTTTTAAATGTTTACTTCAAAGCTCCCATGGTACTGCAGTCTACTTGGCCCATGGTTCTTCCTTGTCATCTATTCTCCTACATGATTTCATTCTTTCTCGGAGCCTTGTCCATCCTGTGTTGGGGACTCCGAGATGGATTCCACACTGTCCTCTCAATAGCAAATTCCCATGG